TCAATAAATAGTGTTAAGAAATAACCCGTGACGTTGATAGGTTGCGGAAACATCCATTAGTTTTCCCCTAATAACAGATGCAGAAAAAATAAAGGACAGAGACAGCTGTCGATATCTCCTCAACTCGCAATTTGAACAAGCGGCCACGTGATCTGACCCTAATTATATACCGCCAGTGTTCATCGCAGTCATGCCCTAGGCTGCAAGGGTTTGCAAAGCAAAAGCTTGGGCTGAGCTTCAGAATTTGTTAGTTTTGGGCTATTGATTATCATATCTAATTGACATGAGCCGTTACCTGAATGTTTGGCCATGCTGATTGTCATGAACCCGAGCACTCGACTAGGGGTTGTGAAAATCGCTTACGTCACGGTGTCACGTGACTCTCGGTGCAAAATCGTGATGTCATGTTACGTCATGCTGTCAACAAGGTTAATACATCTAGTGACTTTCTCAAATGAAATCGATTTAACGCAGTGAGTTACGTGACGTCACGAGGCCACGTGACATTACTTGACAACAAGTATTGACACCATGACGTCACGTGACAACTTGACACATGGTTAACCATAGTGCCAACAAAGGTGCCATGAAAACCCACAATTTATCATACGTTGCAATTATGTATATGACGATTCGATCAACAGATAGAAATACAGCCGCCAATTGTTTATTCCCATATGTTCATTTTGTGATACTAGCAAAGAAGAAATAAAATATTACCTTGAACCGTTTTTAACCGGTTACCGTTATATTTTTTTTCGGTTCGGTTCTGGTTCAGTTTCAACATGGCGGCAAAGATTTCGGTTCGGTTCAGTTCCGGTTCGGCTAAAAATAATGATTCTGTTCCGGTTTTCGGTTCGGTTCGGTTCCGGTTCGACACCCTGGTTTCCAGACAATGACATCTACGGCATTGCTCGCTTCGTCAAAGTCTTCGACACTGATCGCAGCAACGATGAGAGTGATTGCTTTAAAAAAATGTTGGAAGCTGGTCATTTCGACTTTGACCCGTTCGTGACCAGCTCTAGTGAAGATGACAAGATCGTCACGGACGAACTCATCCTTGTCTGCAATTATTTCGCACGTGCATGCAAAGTGGAAGGCCAGAGGGCAAGGGGACAAAAGCAATAGTATACTTTGGAATAGACAAGTATCGTGAGAGTGTGCGATCGTATTGTGCAGAGGCGAGCTGAGCTTGTGCAAGCATGGGGGCGCCTAGAATGAGAGAGCCCTAAATCTGATGATCATGATGTTTATGGGTGCCGTGGTATTACTAACTTAAGCTGTGTTGCCTGGTTGCCAGACGAAAATGATCAACATCTTAAATTGATTATTGCATTTACTAGAGCTCTAAAAATCGTGAAACTAAGTGTATATAATAAGTAGCTGTGAGCATTCCATTTCAAGAATAACCTACCCGTTTAATTACCCAAACATTGAATGCACATTTTTTTTTTTTTGATTTCACTCAACATTTCTATATTCAGTTGAGTCGGACGGTTTAAACGACGATTCCCGAAGTTCGCGTAGTTCGTGATCATGCCGGTCTTTGACATTGATGCTATACCTCCTCCTGTGCTTGCATGACTCCATGAAGAGTTTGGATCTTGATAAGATACATGCAAGGGCAGCCTGTCGTATGTATATGAGGGCTGAAATGATGCCGTCTCCACTGTGTGAGTAGGTGTGGCAAGTGAAGTGCCAGGCATGCAGTTATTATAATGTACGCTAGAGCTTCTACTGGTGCTACTGTCTAGGCGGCTTCCAGGATGCAAATTAAAGTAGACGGCAACCAGTTTACTTTTGCGGTGCTCCTGTGCATTCCTATGGGAAAATGCGCATGCATTTTCTCATAGGAATGCAAAGAGCATGCATTTTCTGAACTTCGTAGCGTGCGAAGTGGGAATTGTGTATAGAATAGCGCTATCGTATGGTAAGCAGTGTATTGGACCGTCTGGTAGATGAGTCAACGATAGACTAAGGGAGAATGCATTATCTCTGAGATCGTCCCCTGCCGGTAATTTGGTGATTCATTGCAACAGGTGTGGGTGTGCCCCTAAGTTCGAAGAGACAACAATAATGATGCGACACAATGACAAAAGGATGAGCAAGATAACGGAGGCATTTAAAATATCAATGTAGGGAGGGCATGTTTGTCAGTGCCCCCTCTGTGGCCCTCTATCAAAAAGAGATAGAATATCTCGGCCGATGGGAACACGGTGTGTGGTGACATGGTTGTGGTGGATTGACCAGGTTTTTTTGTGGCCTTTATGTTTTTTCCTATTAAATTTCAGTTGTAAGTCAGTGCCTTGTCTGTGTGTATACTCTTCTACTGGTCTGTCGTTTTGTTTGCGCTGTTTTCTCGTTCCGTTGCATCACCCACTCGCCCAGATTTCTACGCTCCTGCGTGCCTTTTCTCTCTTCGCCGGAAAATATCACGGATAACTTTTGTTATTTCGGTCGTACCGAATAGTATGTACCTTTATTATCATTGTTAAAGTGTAATACCTAGACCTATGGCTAAATTACCGAAGCATCAAGGAGAATGCAGGGATTGGTCTTCCACGTGCCGCTTGCACATGCCTTTCCCGTATAAAATATTCGAAGTAAATAACCAAACTAAGAGGTTGACGAACGTGTGTGCAAGATACATTTTGTTTTAGGCATTTGCATTTGAAAAGTTACTACTGCTGAGGCCAGCACGTGCAGCATGTGTAACACCAATCCCTGCATTCTCCTTGATGCTTGGGGAATTTAGCAATAGGCCTATTGCTTCAGTTACAGTATTTTCTTTTCACCAGTGAACAATATTAAGCTTCGCTATATTTCAGGCCCAAACCTCTGTTCCATAGCAGGTGGGTAAAAGGGAGCAACGATTCTAAGCAAAATAGCAATTGAAAAGAATGTAGACTGTTTTCAAGATTCGCCAGCATTTTGGTGACGCTCATATATTGCTAATATGCCCGTCTTGTCGCTATATAAAATTGACCCCGTGATGCATCTTTACAAGCGGTTTGGAACATTCAAATAGTAAAGAATGAAGTATGTGGGCTATCAAAGATGTTTCTTTTTATTATTTCCCTTGCCAGGCAATTTTTATAGGGCACTTGTTCTCTGGCGTCTTCCTATTTTCGAAGATTTTAAGCGTGCGGGTGATGTTTTGAACGCAGAACAAGCATCTTCGCAAATGTTCATGGGCAGAAAGAATAAAGCAGTACTTATTTTTTGCAGATCAGACTAGACTATATATTACGTTGCCTTCAATTTATTTTGATTGTCTACATGCACAGGGAGTTACCAGGCAGTTTTAGAATAGCGCACGATGAAGCTTTGCAGACGCAAAAAATAGTGTCGTCGCCACTGTGCATACGCCGACACTAGCAACGTGTTGCGCTTCTCGTGCGCTATTTTAGCAATCACTATTTTTCAGAAATTGTCCACGTACGTAGTCTTTGCGCTCCTCCAAGGACGATTCGTGATGAGAAATTGGCTAAAACCGAGATGAGCACAGTTAAAAAATGGCGGCTCCCAAGACCGCCGCTGTGGCCACTTTGGCGGTGTCGTGAGCATGACGTCGGTGGCATCCTCGCGACTACAATTTTCATCACAGGACAACATTGCACTTGATTCGGGAAACCCATGAAGGTGGGCAACGATCGCCGGCAACTTGGGGCTTGTGACGCACTAACGTTTCTCGGCGAAGGTACGGTCCGCTTAGGTCAGTAGAAGAGGCCTCTCATGCCGAGGCAGCACAATAGACACGACCAGTCCACTTCTCCCGTCACACTCATATTTGAAGAAATCTAAAAAGTTATACTAAAACAAAAAAAGAAAAAAAAAATTAAGTTGCAGCATTTTGTTGTAAAATAAAAATTGTAACTGTATCTTGGTGGCGTTGCAAGTGCGAGGTGCTAGGGCTGCTGCGTCGCGGCGGAGAAATGCGATTCTAAAACTCTCTGGTGTAGCCTGCACTAACGAAAGTGCTAAATTTAGTGCTAGCGGGCGCCAAATTTGTACTAATAATGTGTATGCATAGTTCTTGCTGTCTCTGTTGGTTTTCGAGGCGTCCTTCGTTTGTCTGGCATGTATATCCCCCATGCTGAAAAGCGCTGATGCTGTGTTTGTGCCAAGTGTCCGACTGCGCACATAAATGCATGTATGAAGCTGTTTTAGCTCCGCTTTTATTGCCACAAATTTGAAAAAGAACACTGTAGCTGACCAATTATTTCGTCTGCGTGACTGAGAAATATTTTAAGCTACCTAGTATGTATGAACTAGTTGTGATACGCACCTATAATCGAGCGCAGAGAGAAAATGAACTCACTTTTTTCCATAGAAATGCATTACCAAAAGTAAATTTTTGACGAGCTGCTATCCGCTTCAATTTGCATCGGTGCTCTAGCGCCAGTTGAACCTCTAGCATACATTACAATAACTCTACGGTGCCAGGATTGCACGTCCGACAGGTGTGTTAAGCGTTGCAATACTTGCGGATCAAAATAGAACACGAAGCGGCGACAAACGACATCGCGGGAGCCGGCGTATCACGCCGTCGAACGTCGCGACCCCGGCGTTCAATTGCGGCAGTTTTGGCAGCAAAAAAAAAAATATATATCAATTGCAAGTGTCGTCGTCATCATGGCGTTCGGCTCCTGACCGCCAAAACACAAAAGCGAACCGTCGAACTGGAGATTGACCCGCAGCAGAACGGCCGTTTGCCGTGTCCGCTTCCACCTCCGTGCCACTGCCGGGATCACGAGGGGCAACGGCACGGCGCTTCTACGCTGTCGTCGGGTGTAAATCGAGGGAGCCCAATTGAGGATCCGAAGGACTACTTGTTGAAGAGGCGTCGAGCGGCGAGGTGGAAGAGTTTTGTCGGATTGCTTACACCTCTCCCCATTTGCTCGCGAACCGGTCAGGCGTGCGGTGCATCGAACGACGCGTCCTTCTCTCTCCCCGGTGGAAACTGCATCCCGACCGCCCTCTGTGTGGCGTGCATGCAGGACCTGCGCTTCCAGTACCTGCAGCTGCAGGAAGACCTGATCAAGGTGCAGCTGGACAAGGAGAAGCTGGAGGAGACCCTGCGCAGCGAAATCCACTTCCTGCGCGACCAGGCCGACGCCGAGCAGCACTGCAAGCGCCAGCTGGAGGACGCCCTCAGCCAGGAGGTGCACGGCCTCAGGCGGCAGCTCGGTGAGAGGGCGCACGGACGCGCTCGCGGCTAGCTGGAATGTGCACGGCACTTACAGGGACGGGTCCTGGCGCTCTCGTGTCCACAGACCTTGATGGTGACGTCTCAACGATGACTGTTCGCTGCAACGCGGTCGCACGACACTGTAGCTTCGTGCGATGTCGGGGTGTCGCGCGACACTGTTTTGCCGTGTTGTCGGGTGACGTAACGTCGGGTGACATCGTATGACGGCATGACGTGACATTGTCGCATCGTGTCGCGCTTGAGTTCATGCAAAAATGACTGGACGTCGCTTCGCGTGGCCACATGACGTAAAGTAACGTGACCGTGTGCCTTCCCCGTGATCACATAATGTCGCATGACACTACGATGTCTCTGTGTCATGTGACAGAGGACCTATAAATGCTATACATTTAGAGCACCTTTGGGATATACCAGAGAGTGGCATTTTTAACGCAGAATTTGTTTTATGAGCCCATATTTGCGGAGTTTTGTAACGTTTAGCTGCAACAACTGGCTGCGGCAGCCGGCTGTAACGGTTGGCGATAATGAAAAGCTGGCGCTATAAGGCGTTTCGCCCTTAGGGAGCCATATAAAAAGACCTCAGTCCCCCAAGAGGATTTGAACTGAGCCAAGTGCTTTGCCGACTGAGCTATCCAGGGCCAGTGGTCGGAGCAGGCAAAAGCAGAGTGATTGGTGCGGCGTAGTTACACGCTTCACGGCCTTTCCTGTCGTGCTGTACCATCTCGCGGCGTCTGTCTGAAAACGGTGCTTTTCAGATGCCCTAGCTTCTCTTCTTCCCTGTGAGGCCTATCCCACATTCTGCACTTACCTGTCTTTGTCAGCATGACCGAGCCTGTATTTTTATTTGACAAACTTGACTGGTTGCAGTGAATGAATAACGTTTTTGTGCTGAGACTGCATGGTGCTCCTTGCCTCCCCAGAGGTCCCAGATGTTCCTGGAGACTGCTATCTCTCCTCCCTGTAGGCTGCCTCCTTGCTCTCTCGCCTCACGAAGCTCTCCTTTTCAAGCCGCCGCAAACGGACTGCGGTGCATGCATGCATGAGTCATGGACGGACGCTGGTGCCTGCTTGCTGCATGTTGTTGCTTTTAAGTGTGGCCTGCAAAAGCTAAGACAAGCTTGCTTCATTCTGCTGATGTTCCGTGCAAACTGTGCGCTTACACTTGACTGTCTTCAGAGTGCAGAGAGGTGGGGATGTGGTGAAGGTGCTTTTCTTGACAAAAAAAAAGCTGCTGGGGGGGACCATGTTGGCAGGTGATTGGTTGAAGAGATTTTTTGCTTTAATTTTGGCTGAATTTTTGGAGCATGGATTACTACTGCCATCTCAATTTGAACGTGTTTTTGCAATGCTTCCGCATACTTGACAATGTCACGTTTCGGCTTTGCTTACCGGCATGGTATGTTATGTCACACATGTGCCTGGAACGAAAGATTGGACATCATGTTTTGCGTGTCATAGCAAAATTTTTGTTTTGAAATAATCAGGTAGGAGTTGCATTAGAATAAATATTGTCATATTAGTATTATTTACCACTTTACTTAGTGTGAAATGCCATATTCAAACCGATTAAAGACATTCCAGATTATTACTAGGGCTTTTGCTTATGTGAAACCTTAATGCAAAAGGTTGTCCTCAAAAACCACTAAAAAGGAAAAAAATTATTTTTTTTAAACAATTAATTGGGACATGTGTGTAAAAAAACAAAATTTATTTGAAAAAAAAAAAAAAAAACTTTTTCTAGGGCAATAGTGGTGGCGTGAGAAGCGATGTAGTCGGTAGTCTCCTCCTTTCCACTTGTTTTCTCTCTCTGCATTTCAAGCACGTGGAGGAGAGGTGGATCGGCTTGGCCATCAATCACATTGAGGTGGAAAGAGTGTATGACCATTCCATGACATCGTGAACTTTGCACGCAGAATCTTAAATAAATCTTGTGCCATCAATACTGTTCTAAAAAAAAAAAAAAAAAATTTCGCGTAAAATTTTTTTTATGACAATTGTGTCCCAGAGAGTTTGGCCAGTGGGTGTGGCGACGAAGGCGCCGGAGGGGAGAAAAGTAAATGAAAGGGAGGAGAGCGCTCAAGGAGCGAGAGAGAAAGAAGGGAGCAGAGAGGAGACGACCGCCATTTTTTAGCAACGCTGTCGGAGACTGGTCGGAGAAGAGCACTGCTGATGCTACGCGTCGTCTGCTACGGGCCGACTTCTTTTTCGCCTGAATAAAAGTTTGTGGCCATACGCCAAAAAATCTTCATTTATTAGCTTTTTAACCCACCGAGGAATAACAGTATGTCATTTTCTTGCCAGAGCCAGGGATATAAAAAGGCAATAATCGAGATTTAGATGCCGATCCCACGCATTCCACCGGGTGAATGAAGGAAAATGGCGGCCCTCCCCACTCAGCTGGGAGCAGCCGTGAGTTCACGCGCATGCGCTCATGCCTCTTGCTTTGTGCCGTGTGCTGATTGGCTCGCTCGGGAGGGAAGAGAGCGTTACGGCGGCGAGATCATAGACTGACTAAACTCTCCCGGCTTTGGTGTGTCCCAACCAGAAAACATTTTTTTCTATTAGTAGCCCTTTAAATACTACATTGTTTTCTCAGTAATTCAAAGTTGCTACTTTTAAGGCTTACAGCCCCATTGCATTCAACGTCTGACAAGCCCTGCTAAGCAGATTATCCGCTGGCAAGACATAATTCTTTCTTTTTTTTTTTTTTTTTTTTGACTAGGACACTATTAGGGTTTTGTGTTTTTCTTAAATACCGATAAGCCTCGAAAATTAACCCCGGAAGCGGTTTTATCAAAATTGGGGAAAACAAACAAATCTCGAGTCGGAGCTGTCCAATCGAAGCATTAGAAGAAAACCTTCGTCTACTGCTTTATTTTGTGTTGATCCAGAATACAACCCCAGACAAACTGTCCTCAAGGCTGCTTCCTGTTGCAGAACCACACATCTTCCTTTTTCGTATCGATGCGGGAACGTTTTTCAAGCATTCGGGTCACCTTAGTTTTTCCTAAAGGTTGGTTGATCCCATGCCCGATTTTCTTCAAGCCCCGATAAACTCCGATTTTTCGCCCAACACCAACTATCAATACCAAAATATCCGAAATCTTTGGGAAAAAATAAACCCCCCAAAAATGCCCCCCAAATATGAACAGAAATAAACCCGGAAACGTGGATCCCTTGCTGCGACCTACGGGTGCACTAAAAATCAGTGATAATGAACTAGAGTTCCACAAATATTTCTTTTCTAAGAGTTGATCCATATGAACGAAAACGACACCTCTTGTACGTCTTGTACATAAGTGTGAAGTGTTTACGCTGAGCACTTCCGGGAAGTCCTGAACAAACATCCACCCACGGTGAAGACGAAAAGGCAATCGGTAAAAATACGAAACACTGATCATCTTTTGGGATGCAACGGCGAAAGATTACTTAAAGACAACCAATGGATCCATGGGCATCGGCCGCAAACTCGCACGACGTGGGAACCGGCGCCGCAGCTCGTGGATGGAGTGACGTTTCTGGACTTCAAGTGCATTATCAATTGATGCGTAAAGTTATTCTCATTATGTCCAACAATAATCGCAACTTCTTTGCAATGCCTCCTGCGGTAGTGGTTACTTGCATGGCACTCGCGTGCACGGCCACATCGTTTGCACTTGCATGCCGAAGCACCCTTCCCGTCTTGCCACATTCTACCAAGATGTGAGGAACTTTAGTCGACGTTGCGTCAATAGTTGATCTCACTTTATATAATATCTATACCAGCTGCCCGGCTAAACTACCATGATAGCTTGGGTGTCGTGACACTGCCATATCGTTATGGTAATCTTATGTTCACTTTTAAGACTTTCTATTATCACCTAGAATAATTATTGTTATGGGTATTCAAAAGACGCACCCTGTTGTTCTCATCCTGTCAATGACTAAAAGTGTGAATATTAATTCTCGTACTGTTGTTTATCATTGATGTCCTACTAGGGACGGTACGGATTGGAGGTATATAGAATCGGCTTACACGCCGTAGAATCTTCCATGTGGTGTGGCCACGAGAAATAATTGGGCATTGCACGCGGTGAGTCTTACAGGTGCCAGTAGCAAGAGGCTTACGGAGTCCCCCGGGTGGTGTCGTTCCTTCTTTCCCTTTTTTCTTCCCTACGCCCAGACGAGTTGAGCCAGGTGAAGGAGCAGCTAGAGCAGGAGCGGCGCTGCAGGCTCGAGAAGGAGAAGGAGAAGGGTCGCTGCGAGCTGCGGCTGGCCCAGGTGGTCGGGGAGGCGGACGAGCGCCTGCACGCGCTGCAAAAGGCCCACGACGGGCTGGCCTCCGCAAAGGTGCGTCGAGGCCGTTCTGGCGCGTCCCCGCTCCGTCGCGTCGCACGACAATGACGGGGAAGGTCGTGCGGCTAGGGGCAAGAAGTGAGGCCGGTGCCGACTCGCTCTGCCGTCATTTTCTGCCGTAGGCTGGGCCACCACGGTAGCTTTGAGGCAAAGCATCGGCTAACGGGTACCCAGTTGGCGGGTTCGGATCTCGGCCGAGGTGCCCGCAATCCGACGGAGGCTTATTGCGGAAAGGGCATAGTCGAGATTTTTGTTTGCACATCAAAAGATCCCCAGGTGGTCAAAATTAATCCCGCGGTCCCTCGCTGAGGCGTGCGAGATGCCCTTCATTAATTTGGCACGTAAAATGCCCAAGTTTGACGTTTGCCATAGCCTACCATAAAATACCGTGGAAGCACTCACTTCGTTCAACATGTTCCGAACTTGGGAATTGTGGAAATTACATGATAAGCACCCCATTAGACTGGACAAGCACCCATGTCTTGATTAACCCTATTTTCAGTGAAGGTAGAGTGGGCGCTCCTACGGTATTTTACGGTAGCCTTGAGTCGCCAGATGTTTACGGGACAGTGAACCTTTGAAGCTTCGGCTCAGCACAGCTTGCTGGTGTCACCGTTGTACATTAGGAGCAGGCAGCTGCAGATAGTAAGTGAATCAAGTGGTGAGAGGAGGAAGTAGCCAGCCTTCCCTCTGCATATGGGATGGTTCCCTTGTCCTAGGATCACTTCCTAAGGTAAAATGGTTGAGAAGACTGCTACAGGACAAGCCTCGGGAAATTGAAAATGGTCATCAAGTTCGGAAACGGGTGCTCTTCACAAAACTGAGGTAATTTAAAAGCTTGGACGGTCAGATTGTTTAATTTACTAGGAACTTTGAATAATAATGATCTAGAACACTGGTTCTCAAATGGAGTTCCGCAGACACTTTGGGGTCCCTGAAGGCCTCCTGGGGTCCTCGAAGCCGTCGACCATCAGTCAAGCCAAGCAAAAAAAACGTTTTTTTTTATTATTGATGAGGGCTGTCCCACTAAGATAAATAGGCCAAACTATGTGCATCAAGTGAATAGGGTTGATTACTCTCCGTTTCAGAGCTTCAAAATTTTTTGCAATGATTTAGTTCTTTTTTTTTTTTTTTTTTTCATTTACCTTTTTGGTAATTCCCCTTCCGTTCTACCAATCGAGAAGGGGTCCCCAGAACCTCAGTTGTTGAGAACCACTGATATAGAAAATGGTGATATGAGAGTATAATCCCTGCTTTTTGCCATCATTAAGTATGCACTATATAAAGACCAAACAAATATTGAGAGATCTAATACTTGGTGCCAGCTGAAAAAAGTTGTGCTCATAGTTCCTTCACTGTGCAAAGTAGTTCTTGCAGCATTTGGTGGCGAGAAAAAAAAAATGAAGCCTTTTGCTTTTGAAATGTGTTGGTCGAGGTAAAATACCAAATAAAGTTATAACTGATCTTACCTACAAGTACTGTAATCTATCTTAGCTTGGTGCATAAAAGTGGAAATTGCTAATGCTCTGCTAGAAGCCAAACTTCTTTTATTATATACAGTTCTTGAGATGAGGACAAGTTTTGTCATGTCCTCGAGGCTTTTAGTTTTATTTGGCATATTTTGTTTCATTATGGTTTGCTGCGGAAAAGTGAGCATCGCTTTTTAGAAGCTTCAGCAAGCATTGAGAATGTGGACCTGATATCAAGGTTTTGTTTTGAAAGAAAGTTGTGGTCATTTCAGGGTAAAGATATATAGCTGCACTGGGACAGATTTATTGTTCATTGTTACAGAACTTAAGTATTTCTTTACACCTTTAAAGATATCCGTACTAAAGTGCAAAAGGGTCGGGTTTATTGGGTTCAGGTTATGAAATATTGACTATGGTATTTACTCGAATGTAACGCAAGTTTTTCTTAAAATTTCCCTCACCTAATTTGGGGGTTCGCGTTATAATCGAAACGCCTCAAAATTTGCCTCGGCGGTGTCGCGGCACAGGCTCTTTAAAATGGCTGCGACAAATCTCGTGACCTTTCGATCTTGTGCTGGCAACATATACACACTGGCAACATCCAATCTAATCCTGTTCTTGTTTGCGACAATTTTGTGACTCATTGCGCCCGTGTGTCGCGGGCTGCTATTTTGTGTTTCCACGACTTTGGACTCGAGCAAATGGCAATGCGACGAGCTCAGTATGATGCCCGCTTCAAAAGAAGTGCAATTCTGATAGTTGAGGAAATTGGAAACTTTGCCGCGGCTCGACGGCTAGATGTGACAGAATAGACTATCCGTGGGAACACTTGAACACCGATGGCGAAAGCGACGAGTGAGCAAAGCTCATTTTATTTTTAGAAACTGGCAGGTGTTGGCCACTATGTGAAACAAATAAAGGTACTCTTTTCCCTCACTTTACTCGCGTTACATTCGTGTTCTTTTTTGTTCTTGTGCTGTGAAAAGTTACCTCTTGCGGTACAATCATGGTCGCGTTACATTTGAGTAAATTCGATACTTAGTTGTAATATTGCAAAATAAATGACTAGAAGGCAGAATATTTTCAGTTCCACGCTAACGGAGCTGCTTAAGTGTCTTCTTGAGGTGCTGGTTAAAAGAAAAACTTCATTCATCTAGTCAAACCAAACTCCTACATCCTGTTCCCTTTACATCCCAACTGGACCAAAGTCTGCAATCACGAGAGCCACTTATCTTTTGAGAGCTTTTCAAAGCCAGTGGCTCCCGCTCGCCGCTTTTGCTTTGTTTGGAGTTAAAGGGAGGGGCGTAGCGAAAAGGCTCGACTGCTTGGATGGGCCCGTTAAAAGAGGCGAGTGGTACAGTGAGCCCGTGTTGCAGGACAAGCTGGAGGCAGAGGTGCTGCAGCTGCGTGGCCGTGTGCAGACGCTGCAGACGGAGCTGGACAACAGCGAGGCAGTCCAGCGGGACTTCGTCAAGCTGTCCCAGTCACTCCAGGTGAGTCCCTCCCCTTTCACTATTGCCTTCCCTACTTTCCCCTACCCTGGCAACATAGTACTGGGGCTTTCAAACTTTTCAATCTCGGGGAACACGTGTTCCTTTTGATACACAGCCGAGGAGCCCCTCTCGGTCTCGGCATTGTCGCAATAGTGCATTGCAGAAGCCTACAGACCTTGTAAACAAGGAAGAGTGTACAGTAGCCCCTCGTTATAACAAAATCACTAGTTTTTAAATTATTGTTTTTATCAAAGTTGAATGGGGTCCCGACCAAAATGCATGCATTTTGCGTGCATTTTGGCAAGCCAAGGTGCCAAAAGCATGCAAGCCTACGCGGAAGTGCACGGAGACCCTCGCGTTGCCTCCCCCTCCTCCACCGAGGCAAACCACAAACAAGAAAACGCAGCAAATGAGTGAAGGAGGACAGAGCGGCAGTGCCGCATCCGATGCCGATGCACCGACACGGCCAGGAAGCAGCGTCCACGTTCCGACGTTACTCGCGGTCAAGACGGCCAGACTCTCGTTGCAATCGGGTCGAGGAAGCGAAGGAGCCCGGACAAGGTCATCCCTTTGGAAGCCCCTGACACATACCTGCGGTATACACATGGTACACGGATGTTGTATGAGCGTGTTTCCGATAGTCGCTTCAGTCTGCGAGGTTGACAAAAGTGGCCGGCCCAAGTCCGAAATCTCGAAGGAATTCGACATTCTGGCATCGACTGTTCGACACTGTCCACCATTTCGCGGAACAAGCAAGACGTGGTGGACAGGGTGACAAGAGTTTCTCGTGCAAGAGAAAGTGCACACGCATGCTTGCCGAGGCAGCGCACGATTCCCAGAGTTTGAACGACCCCTACCGGAGTGTGTGCAAACTTGTCGGCGGAGCCACCAAGGATAACCTCGATTCATTCACGCTTGTCGATGCAGACGTTCAAGTTGTGGCTCCTGCCACAGATGCTGCAGTCGTAGGCCTTACGTGCGACCAAGGTAAATACAAAGCGAGTTAAAGAGACACCTTGGGAAACGCTGTTGAGTACAGAGACTCAGAATGTCCTACGGCTGCTTCGGAACAAAGTGGAGTGCAGCTGCGGTGACAGTGCACTTGCGATGCCGGAAGCATTTCGAGGAGAACTGATACCAGGATAATTTTATTGGCAAACTCCACTTAATTATTTTCTTACTCCTCAGTAAAGCTGCCGAAAGTTGTTCATAACCAAGGTATGTTGGATTAAGCTTAAATTTGCAATTTTTTAGGAAAAAAAAGACTTCTTCTCTCATTTTTATCTATTGTGGTTTAACTAAAAGCGCACACTTCTGCAAATTTTTATTGGAATATCTTAAATATTTCCGGAGAAGCAAACCATTCGGTAAGCCGACGATGCAAGATCACATCTTTTGGAAATGTGAAACTTCTATGTTTCCTATTTTCTAACAATCGCAGCTGTGCACCAGTACACCCTAGAACGATGATCATACTCTCGTTGGAAAGAGCATTTCGTTACAGTTTCAATACTTTAAACATACCGTAACGACTCATTTTTCGCGGGCTCAGTATTTCGCGATTTAGGTCAAAGCTGAAATATTAGAATAATTCGCGGGTTCTAATTTTTCAACTGCAACGGGAGCAGCGTGAATCGTATCTCATATACCAATTCAACACAATTGATAAAGGAATAAATTAAAATCCAGGAACACTTGCAGCAATTAAAATGTTGTCTAAGAATTTACCGAAAAACTGGGAACATCAATACTCACCCTGACCGAGTGGCACCGTATTTGCAGTTAAAAATGGACCATGGATTTGTTATTTTTTTTCCTTGTGTGTATGAAACGGTGAGCCTTCCATACGTGCTTCTGAACCGGCTGCTTCCCTTTTTTTCTTATTTTACCCGCTCATATGCGAGGACCGTTAATATAATTTCTTTCATTGAAATACGATGCAACTCTGAGCCTGTGTCACCATGCTGTCCTGCTGCATGCAACACTACTCGGTCTTGACCCTAGGCATCTCTATTTATTTTAATTTTTACTTGAATGTTTTATCTTTTTAATTTGTATTTTGAATCCACTGTCCGGTACGACAACCTCTTGACAACTATCCGGTGGTAATCCCCCGTGCCCCCCTACCCCGCCATCCCCTCCTTGCTCCCCTCTCCCCTCTCTTCCGCGGTGTGCGGCGCCCGAGGGGAGGCGGGGTGACCGTTGCATAGAGTGGACACCCACATTGGCTTAGCCTTATGTGCAATTGCTACCAAAGATGTCGTTCCAGAGCTTGTGCCGTCCGTTTATGACCTATTATATTCACCGCAGTGTCAGAGATCTCATATATGCCTCTTTAGCTTAGAAACCCGCCCCCCTACCCGCCGGAGGAACGCGCTCATCAAATTTTTTCTTCTTCTTTTTTTTTCTTCCGACGTTGCATTTTTTTTTTTAATTGGTCGCTTACTGCTCTGCACAGTCTGATGTCCTCACATGTATGCCATCTCCTGACAAAGCCGAGCCTCTTGGCGAAATTGTCGTTTGACTTAATCACATTTTCCCAGTTCATTGTTCACAAACTACTCTGCCTCATACACGCACGCACGCACGCACGCATGCACGCACTAGGTAATAAAATGGTGCTTAACCCATTCGCTATCGTGTGCGTCGCGCGCTGCTGGGCCATCCGTACTGCACATTTTTCCCCAAAAACAGGGCCACACTAGGCGGGACTGTTTTGCTTGTATAATAAGCTTTTACAGTAAAACTCAGTGCAGAAAACAAGAAAACATGTTTATTTACATGCTTAAGTGGTTTGTTCAACTCTTTAAATCAATAGGCCCTCACAGAATCTTCCTCGTAGGAAAGATCTCGAAGTACTCTATCCTCGGTCGCTTAGGCGTCGCACAACCAGTGCACTCTTGTCGTGATTCGGACTCCGAAATGCTGTCGGAATCGCTCCCATCGTTGACAGAAGGCTCCGAAAACTCACTATCCTCCCCAGACGTCCCGTTATCGTCGCTGTCGAAGAGGATATATATGATTTCATTGTCAGAAAGGCCACACCGCACACTGGACGCTGCCATCTTCTCCGAGCAGGCAGCGATCGAGCAGGAAAGACTACACACTAAAGAACAAGCTGAAACAAACACAGCAGACAGAATGAGCCTCGCCGTCTGTTGGCAATGTATCTAACTGCACTACCCGAAGTCTACATAGTGCGCCATCTATGAATGGCTTTTTAAAACAAATTCATGCCGACCAGCGAATCGCCGGCTTTGGCAGTATGGCCCCCGACGGCACGCCCGGCAATTTGCCGGCTTTAGTAGCGAATGTGTTAAACTGGGAAAACACACTAGTATTTGGAAATCTTCTGGAAGCCCAGTTTGAGAACCCATAAAGTATAGGGAACCTACTGCATTCGTTCACCTTGAGAAGTGGTGCGCCTTTCCAGTCTCATTTGAAGTGGGTTTTTTTTAATTGCAGACAGTGCAGTAGAACCTTGCTGGTATGATTATTGCTGCCAATGCTGTTTGAACTGCCATAGATTTAACAGATGTGTTAGCCGCTTTGCGGTTTTATGGGGTCTGCTGGGGCGGAGCTTCGCACCACACATGATTGCTCTCTCTTACCTTTTGACACTTCTTTCAGGCTCGTCCTCAGTTTTCCTTACCTGCGCTCAAGCGCCAAGGGTGGCATTTCGATCGACTTGCTCAACGTCTAGAATGATTGGCATTGTGTGAACATCGGGTTTATGTACGAAGCGAGTGAACCCTGTATTCTTTATTTTGGCTTAGAGATTAAACAGAGGGTTGAAGGAAGATGAGCAGGACTCATTTTGTTACAGGACCCATTCATAGCAATGGGATGCAACGAAACGCATCACACTGAAGACCCTGTCGGTGTCAGGTTCTTGCACAGTCCCCCTCAGGGCCCTCCCAGGGTGACCAAAACAGCTGTTGAGTCAGCTGTGCCCTCACCTCTGGTGGCCTCATGTCGCCTCCAGAGGCTTCCTACCTCCATGGGTTCTTGCATGTGGCAATGTCGCCGGTAGTTCCTCGTAAGTGAGCGTGACATATGCCGTGGCCATTGGCAGGTGGAGCTGGAGAAGATCCGGCAGTCTGACAGCGAAGTCCGGTGGCAGCACGAGGATGACGTCGGGGAGTGCAACACCTGCAAGCGGGGCCTGCACGCCCGTAAGGAGAAGGTACGCACTCCACACTCTGAGGGAAACATTCAAAAACACAAAGTGGCGAAAAACAGATGGCCGTAATTAGAGTACCGTCAGAGTTAACCTGTAGGTAGTGACTATTTTTATGTTTATGACGTCGCTTGCACTAAATGCAAAAATGTTTCTTAAAATATTTTTACTTCCCCCAACAAAATACAGAATTTTATTATCTCGACGTCTCCTGTCAATGTAGTTGACTCACTGACGGCTGTTTCATACTGTTTGGTCGTGGACTGTGTTGTCGGTGTTACGGCGTCGCGTGTCGCTGTGTCGCATGCCTAAGAAGGTTTAGTCTTACTTAACTCTGGAAATCTGTCATTCACACTCTGTGCCTACATGCTCGATAGTTGAACAATTTCAAACGTGACTGGGACGTGGCCGAGCGGCGATGCTGTACTCTTGCATGTTTTTTAATCGAACTCTCTTACATAAAATGTTTAACTTCCAACGAAGGCAAGCTTCCTTTTATCTTTTGTCTATACGTAACAAGTGTAAGTGCACTGCAATCCACAGAGTTTTGAATGACTTTTGTACCTCCACTTTTGTGCGAGTGCGCCTTCAAACTGTGGCAAAGCGTTGCCGCCAGCCTCGCTTTTGCGCCTGGTTCGTGGGTTTGTAGTTTTGTTTATATTTTCTTTTTGTTCATGTATGTTGAGTCTGGTGTGGCCACTAAATAGAGAGATTTAGAACAGCGCACACCAAAGCTTTGCGTACGCAAGTAATAGCGTCGTCGCCACTGCGCATGCGCCGAACACTAACCACATTTTGCGCTTTGCGTGCGCCATTTCTCAGAAATTGCTTGCATATGCAAAGAGCCTTTGCGCTCCTCCAAGGAGGATTCGTGATGAGAAGTTGGCTAAAGTCAAGACGAGCACAGTTAAAAACTGGCGGCGCCCAAGACCATGGACGCGGCCGCTTTGGCGGTGTCAGGAAGGCAACGTCGGTGGCATCCTCACAACTGCTATTTTTAATACGGGATGACATTGCACTCGGCCTGGGGACAACGATCACCGGCAACTTGATGCTTGCGCCGCGCAAACATTTTTGGGCAAAGGTACGGTGTGCGAAGGTCAGTACACAAGACCTCTCTTGCCGAGGCGATGCAAGCGAACATCACCGGTCGACCACTTGACTTGCATGTACATGTTCAAACAAATCTAAAACGTTACTCTGGACCAAAAAGACTTGTTGGTTTTTTTTCCTGAAGTTGCAGCATTTTGTGTGTGAAATAAAAATTGTAACTGTATCTTGGCGGTGTAGCAAGCACGAGATGCTTAGGCTTTTGTGTCGCGGCGGAGAAACGCTATTCTTAAACACACTTGCGTAACGTGCGCCAAAACAAGCGCTAAATTTTGCTCTAAAATTGCAAACGTTATTCTAAAACTTTCTAATGATTGGGACCAGTGGCGTACGGAGGATTTTGTTTCAGGGGGGGCCGGACCAACGGGGGACAAGATAAAGGGGTAAAGGGTGTAAAGAGGAACAAGATAAAAAGAGAAAAAAAAGTCCAAGAGGAAATAAAAGCACCTTAATTTTTTTTCAAATAACTATGCATTCCTCTATTAAATAATTAAAATAAATTTGTCATACTGGTGTTGGGAAGATTATGATACATAAAAATGGTGCCCCGGAAATTCCTCACCAGGAAGGCATTTTCACTTACTTTTTTTTATTTACAAGTCACGTCAACAGAAGTCACCAGAGTTAGCCAAAAACAAGAATCATAAAAACAAATTTTTTATGAAGCACGACTCCAATGCACGAAGCCTCCAGTCATCGGTGCTGATAAAACAATGATGCATGAGTAGAAACGCGGAACACCTTGATGGATAGACGATAAACACTGGAAAGCTGCTCCACCATAAATTACTCCTCATCTTAACATGATCGAACGAACAAAAATCTTGCGTGATTTGTTCGTTGGTGTCAATTTCTAAGGTTTCTGAAGTCCGTTCACAAAAGAAAGTCAAGGAAGTCACACGACGCATCAAAGGAACGATGGAAAATGGTTTGTACACTCACATATCGCACTTGGCTCCCGTCCTGAGGCAGCAGGTCGCACACTCGCGCCCCTATCTCGCGCGGTTCTCAAACTGCCGATGACAACTTCCGTACTCGAACGTTGAACCGCAAATCCCGCGCCTTTAGGCGCCTATATTCACTTTGTTAAGAGTTTTCCCACCACCCAAGGAGCCAATCAGATGTCGCTCCCTTTAGACCAATGGGAGCCACGCGGTACAAAACAAACACTTACAATACAAAATTCAATTAAGAAAGGACACGTGCATAGACCCCCGAAAAATCCCAAAAACCTTCGCCCTAACTGTTGACCGTCAGCAGGACACCGCTTCCAGGAAAAATCCTTCGTCGGAGTGCAAGGGCAGTGCCCACGCTTCTTCTCAAAATAAAAAAAAAGGCTACAAAACATCGATGGGCCCCGCTGCGCTCGAGTGGGGCACAGCGCATGGTACGCACCCAGAGCAGGGGCGACAACAAACCAGCCCCGGTGACTCCGGGCAATTGGGGCACTCGCGAAGCAATAAAAGTAGAAGTAAACAAATACATTATCTTTCCTGAGGAACGCTACGCAGCGCAGCCTACCTCACAATTTATTTAACAAATGAGATATGCGGCAGATTATAGTATATATATATGTGTGTGTGTGTCCGTGTGCGTGCGTGTGTGTGTGTGTGTGGTGTGAATCCTGCAGTGCCGGCTACTCCGCGACGACCGTTATATAAAACTATATTGGGAAAACGCAAAAGCGACAACACACATATACACAAGAAGCAGACTACGGAGGTCGCGGCGTACTCGCCCAATCGCGCAACCCGTAGTCCTTGGTTACGCATATCGCGATCTGTGGGGTCCCCACAAGCTGGAGCCATCTTATTAAATATTTGATTTTTTGTCTTTTTTCCTTTTTACTAAAGGTTGTGTTGTATCGTTTCACACGCGTGGAAATTCAGCAAAGCGTTAAATATTAAGTCACATGCTTTCATAATCTTAGTGCTATGGTTTGTAGAACCTTTGGTCATACATATTTTTTGTTATATCGCACAATTCATGGCTTTCATAAAGCGTTGAATCTTGATTGGAGATGAAAGGGTTCATTATACTTCGTTACAGCTTAAGTCCAAGCGCAGCCGATGCTACAGGCGCGAGCATGTGGCCCTGAACAGTGCTTGCACTGCACGAGCGCGCGTGTTTGCCAGGGACGCTGAAAGCCCGAAGCTCACGCTTGTAGCGTCGGCTGCTTCTGGACCTAAGCTGAAACGAAGTATTAGCCCCGTGCGCGACCGGAAGCGTCGCTGTGGTCGGCCTTCCACGATTGGCCGAACGCTGACCATGACGTCGGGAAGGGGATTTATCATCGACGGAAATAAGAGGAATTAAAGAACTTTAATTTTGACGGTGTTGGCAGTCTTGCTTTAAGAGCTCAATGATTTCAAGCTTCCACCATGCTATTTGCAAACACCATCGAACTTGTTGTTTGCAAGGTAATGACGTCACAAGGGGGAACCATGGTAGGGCGCTACCAAAACATCTCGCCGCTAATAACAAATTAATCCCACTGATCGCCACCCTGTAATAGACTATTTAATGAATAACTTCGTTAATTAATTATTCCTCAGTCATATTACGTGAAAGACGTTAAAACTACACATTTTTATTATTTTCAGTACGTCATAAATGGGATATTGCATTCTCTTCCTTTCTAATTTCTTTTACAACTTTTACACAAAGTTGGCTACGCTGTTAAAAAAAAAAACAAAAAAAAAACACCGCATGCGCATTGATATTGATGAACCCGAGAGTCAGTGACCCCACCCACTCCCCCCCCCCCCCGCTCAGAAGTTTCGGGGGGGGGGGGGGGGGGGGGGGGGGGGGGGGGGAAGGGGGGTTGCGGCCCCTTTGGCCCCCCCCCCCCTGTGTACGCCACTGATTGGGACATTAAGTAAAGTGTTGCAATTGCAAACATTGCATCCTCAATGTTTCCTGACCAAAGCAAACGAACAACACGGCTTTCAATGCACCAAGCAAAACATTAAGGCCTGTTCACACACTTGCGACTCCTTAGAAGCGAGTGCCTTGAAACCTCTTAAAATTTCTTAGAGCACACCGGTACGCTGGCGCCACCTATGCAGTGACCCTAGAACTGCATTTCACTGGAGCGAAGGCTTTGCGGGATTTCCGAGGTCAAATGTGCGTACTACCTATGAGAAATGGTTGCTTATAACGTTGACAAAAGTTTTTCGAGCTAAGAAAGAAAGGGAGATACGCTAGAGAAACAGAAAATGTATGGGACTGCCAAGTTTCCACTGCTACCCAATAGGTGGCACCAGTGTGTCCTCTCGTCGTACGAGATTTTAAGAGGTTCCAAGTTGCTCAGTTTTAAATGTCGCAAATGTCTGAATGGGCTTTTACCGTCTTGCAGTGTGTGTAGCAGTTCAACGCACATTTTTCGGCACGAAATCTTGCGCAATTGATTGCGATTTTTATGGCCCAATCTTTTAAAGGGGCACTGACACATCAAAATCGTAATTTATTTTATTATCCAAAACGATTGAAAATGATGCCGGGACATTACCCTCAAAATTCGAAACTTGGGAATTCAGTATTCGTGAATTTAAAAAACAATTTCCAAATGCCGAATTTGAAGTTCCCGCGCGATCCGCGCCAGTGCAGTGAGTCAAATTTTGCGGTCTCCTGCGACTCGACTTTCTTTCGGACCTCCGCACTACGCTGTGAAGCAAAGCGCCATTGCTACCGCCACCCGAAGAGAGGAGGGGGTGAGCAGGCGGGATAGAAGGGAGCCGGCGCAGGGAAAAACCGGTTTCTTCCCCGACTTGGCGATAAGCCTCTGCTCGAGCGCCGCCAAGTTTTCCGAGGGAGAACACAAATCCAGGAAGCGAAATCACACCGAAATCTGATTTTTGGTATTTCAAAAAGAAAGGCCGTAGTGCGTTCGTCATTGCGTTAAAAAACATGTTTTACGATTGCCGTTATTAAATGTTATAGAAATGTCGCCTATAAAGCTTCTAAATTTTCTGATTTTTGACGTCACCGATCAAAAGAAGCAAGGAGGTAAGCGCGGGAAATATAAACGCCAAAAATAAAAAGGCGCGCACTCGCGCGGGGAAATTTTTTTTTCGCGATGCGTTTTTTTTTGCGTGTCTATGACTACAAGTTGCATCATTTTAGACAATAAAAAAGAGTACGACCTTTGGGGTGTCAGTGCCCTTTTAAGACATTCAGAACTCCTTTTGTCTGTTATAAATAATGTGAAATAAATTAAGCATTTGGCAAAGGTTAGTGCAGTGCTACTAAGCAAACGTTACGCGCGGCCTGATAGCTGAGTTGTGTTTTGAAACTTTTTTGGATTCCCGATCACTTAAAAATGCTGGTTGTAAGAACTCCACTTGATTGCATGGCACTCGCCAAAAACTTGTGCGACGCTGACTGCAAGCAAGGTGATAATTTATTCATGGCCACTTTCGATTACCTTCTGGATTGAAGCTCCTGTACTCCATTCAACCTTGAGCTGAGACTACAGCCAAAGCTACAAGCACGAGCTATCCCGCGCTCCTGGTTTTGAGACGTGCCTTTCTAGCACGAGCGCTCATTCTGCGCAAGGATGTTTCAAAGTCACTATCTCGTTTTATTGTGCTTGCAGCATTGGCTGCAGTCTCAGCTTAAGTGAACGGAGTATAAGTCCAAACTTCGGTCAGTTGTTTCTGGTGGCAAGTTTGACGGGAGACGTCAAAATAGTTGTGCAGTAGATATTTTGATGTGGGACATTAAAAACATTTGAAAAATATTTTCACACCTTCAGGAAATGGTGTCACGGATGCCAATATAATAGTCAAATTATTTTGACAGTGGACGTCGAAATATTCACTGCCTAACTTTCACTAGTCGTAAAGAAAAGGTTGTCAAAGTAAACCGAACGACGAGCAGTTGTAAAAATTTTGACATGATGTAAGAATCGGATTTCACTGCCTGCATTTGACAATATGCATTTGTTTCGAGAGAAACTTAAATATTCTGTTTTTGTATCAGCTGTTTGCACATCAGCCACAAACCATTGGAGTCCATCTAATGCCGTGCAGGTGTCGCGTGACCTTCAACCGAGGCACAGCGACGCACTGGGCGCATAGTCCCACGACACATTCACAGCGATGGATTCGCTGAAATGGCCCGTAACATTCGTTACGGTCTATTGTAGGGTGAAATGGAGCACTCGTTCCTTTATAACATTGGGGATAAGGTCTGCAAAATCATGGAACAAATTCAAATTCATGGAACATGGATGGTCCTAGCCCGAAGATGATGGCTCTCTCCTCCTCTTGTGTCTCATCCCAGCACCACTGCAGCCACTGTGGCAAGATCTTCTGCATCGAGTGCCTGGGCAAGGCAGTCCGGTCGGGCCCCAAGATGCGCTCGTTCCCGGTGTGCAACGTGTGCCACACCCTGCTGGACCACGACACGGCGCCCTACTTCAGCAGCGAGCCCCCCCAGACGCCCAGCTAAGTTCCACGGGGGCCGGACCGCTCCGCCTCCCTCCGCTCCGGCGGACCCCGCTGTGGCGGCGGAGAACCCGCACTCACGATGGCCATCTCGGTCCATAAAGACTCTGTCGGCGACAGTTCCGCACTTGTGTCGGCCGTCTCGATCCGCCGCTGCCCCGAAAACTCTGCGGGATTCCTGCCTTCCTCTCGCTGCGCCCTCTACGAAGGATCCAGAAAGGCCAGCTTCGAGAGCGATCGTCCACCTTTGAAAGTGGCTCCCAACTGGTTTCTAGCAAATAGTGTCGAGGAAAACGGGGATGAGAAAAGGGGAAGGGGTTTGCTGTCGTCCGCTCGCGTTTGTCGTCCATTGTTTCGAATGGCAACGGCACTCGGAAGTCGTGTTCAAGGAGTCGGTATGCGTTGAGCCCCTTCGACAGAGTGTGTGTGTCTGCGCGGAAGAAACGTTTGAGGCGCTGCTGGTGGAAAAGGAGTGTGTGCTCACCTGGCATTGAGGCCTCTTATTTTGTACAAATGTTTGTGCAGCTGGGTATGCCGAAATTAAGTCTGTTTGTGAGCCTTTTTCAGTATGTCAGTTGTAGAATGCTGTGACCGTGTTGACTTCAAGCACGTTTTTAAATCTCACGTATTGGATTGTGGAGATATCCTCGACTTCCTGCTTTCGATTTTAATAATTGTCTGTTCGATTCAGCCGTTGAATCGTATAAGAAGTATGGAAACCTATTGAACATTTTGAAATAGTACAACTGTGAGTATGTAGCAGAAGATTTCAGCTTTGTTCAGTGCACCTCCTTACGGTGTAGCAGCATGCGGAGGAAATGCGCAACCCCCTTCCAGGCATCTTCACGTGCTTGTGAAATTTTTTTTAAAGAAAATTCTGGTTTATGGGAATGTTAATTGTTTGAAAACCCAGCAGACATAGGCTGTGAGCACCATTCCTTCATTATGTTTCTGGAACATTCTCTAAATTCAGAATTTTAGTGACAAGCAGCAATAAAGTGAACGAGGCTTGCTCTTGAACATTATTAGGAATTTCAGTTTTGCTAATGCATGTTTTGTTTTCTCACAAAATATTTAAGTCAGTATATTTGAATATACATTTAATTTGACACAATTTGAATGTAACGACTAGTATTGAATTTGTAGTCATGCAGAACTTATATTTTTCCCACTTCAGATAAATCAAAAACTGAGGGGGTCAGTTTACTTTACTAAAGACTCTATGGTAAAAAAAAAAAAAAAAATTATTAGTAAGTGCTGAGCAAGTGTGTGCCTTTTGCATCCCAAGAGCACCCCAGCAACCTCAGATGATTGGTCCATGTCATTCAAGACGTCCTCAAACTTTTCAAGCTTGAGGAATGCCAATCTCTCTCAATCGATAGCCGAAGTCTCTGCATTGCTGCAAATAAGGTAGTGGAGAGGCCTACAAGCCTTGTGAACAGTAATCCACATGATAAGGAGGGGTCGGCACATAGGTATGCATTAATGGACGACACAAAATCTTCTAAACCAGTGCTTAAACTGGAAGAACACTTAGGGACAAGGACAGTCAAGAAAATTTGGAAACTCGGCAAACCGCCGAGGGGGTTCTCTGGGGTACCTCTGCTGCGGACAAAATTGAATTTATATTCTATTCAACATTAGTCATTACAGGACTGGGTGCATAGTCTAAAAGTGTTGTGTACACAACACTTTGTCGGTATAGCACTAACAAACTTTGAAAAGTTGCGTATGAAAAGTTGTGTTCTCTGGCAGTTCGCACAATCAAGACTAACTGGGATGCAATTTTCTTACCTTTATTTGGTATATTCACTCGTTGTTCAATAGTATTCATTTTAATACTGAGGATGTACTTTGAAAAAACAAAACGTGCTCCGCTTGTGTTTGATGAGTTCGGACTTTTTGTGCACTCTACTTTGTCAATTTTTGTTTCTTCTTAGTATTTCATTAGAATTAAGCCATCATGTAGCCTCTCCCTTCTACAAACCTGATAATCCTGTCAGTTTTCTCCTCGTCCCAATGGTGAGAAGGAGTTTAAGAAGGGGTTAAGAGAGGAGGATGTAGCTCCTCGAACACTCCACTAGCAGTTTCACCTAAGGATGAGGTCTTGATGGTTGAAGAGAGAAGGGAAGTGGAGAAAAAGTGGATATTGCAAAGCTTAGATCAGACTTTAAATGAGGCTCTCATAGGTTTGACCCTCAGTAAGTGAATGTTTGTAAAAAGCTTATTCGGCATCCATGCCTCCAAGGTGGTGGTCTTGTCTCCTGAAATGTTGAACAGTTCTGCTTGGTCCCTTGGAGTTGCATTTGACGAGGTTCTGGTGGGGTTGCACACAGCCTACGAAGAAGCTGTTGTACATTCGACAGAGATGACTGTGGTCCGAAACTCGGAACAATTCCAGCTCGAGATGTGACTGGAGCCTGTGTGCAACTGCAGCCAAAGTTTCTCTGTGAAAAAGGTGACGATTCTTCCCACGGATAATTGTGACTACAGCTCGGTTGTGACTATAAGTTTAGCTGCTTCACTCCAGACACGTTCTGCTCTAAGGAGAGGGTTGGGCAACTGGCCGCAGTTGACTTCATATCTTTAACAAGTGGTTCCGCATTTTTTTTTTTTCTGGACATTTGTTTTATATTTTAACAGCTCGAGAGCCACCCACTCCTCGGGTTTGGCCATAGAGAAGTGGCGACAAATGTAAAAATACAACTGCTAATGCAGGACGACTAGCCTGGGGTTTTCGTTTTAGAAAACGCCTGTGTTAAAACCTGCGTCGTGCATCCGTCTTGCCGTTTGCATTGGAGGAAAGCTTTTACATGCTTATCTCGATTTCGTTTTTAGTTTTTGCAATAGCCGGAAATATGAGGGGAGAGGCTTATACTAATGTCTGGGGAGAGTTCAAGGCTCAAGGAATGAGAAATTGAAGAAGCACAACTGTCATGCGGCCGACAGCAAGCGATCTAAACCGAGACGAGCGCATCTGTGTGCATGAGATTTGACGTTGCATTTTTAGCTTTGACTCGAGCTACATAGCAGGCCTTATTTCGTGTCAGCAGGGAAAATTGTATTGCTTTATATTGGTTCGGTTAAGGTTTGAAGGACAACCTGCAAACAAGGGAAATTGTTCATGTTAAAAAACAGCACGACTGGGGCTGGGAAAAATAGCGCGACTGAAACTCTTACCAACTTGCCCAATTATCTATCCTTAGGAATTGTTTTTTTTTTTTTTTTTTAGTAAACTTTTTTTTTTTTTGAGTGCAGTCAGATTTGCAGCTGTCATGACGGCACGAGTTGCTGTTTTCAGATTGTGCTAGCGGAGGAGTGTAGTTTGGAATGTAGCATATTAAAAAGAACAAATAGAAGAACTTGCTTTGTTGTGTGCTGCAGAGACACAAGTACAGTTCAGAACTTCCGGTGACCTTTAACCACGAAAGGATGAACCGACCAAAACGCTTGGAGTGCCCCTAACTATGGGGGGTTCATTGGCATAGGTGCCATTGAACTCGGTTCAAAGAGGCATGAATCAAATAATACCTTGCAATTCCTAGTTTTTAGAGGAAAAGTGTGGTTCGAAGGGACAAGGGTTACCTTAGCATCGAGGAAGCTACGAGAGATGGAGCACCATGCACATAAAAGGTTTTGGGGTCGAGTTTGGCTGAATCCATGGTTGCTGGCATATTGTTCCTGCATCTACCATTTTATAGCTATTGAGCGGCCATGTTCACTCATGTGATGGACTGCAGATTCAAGATATTGGCTTTAGGCGAGCTAGAGAGAAACCACATGCAGAAACACCCAGGGCATACATTGCCTGCCTTTGGAAAGGTCCATCGCAAATTTCGGGTTTTTTTGAAAAGGTGTTCAAACTTTTTCTTTTTTTGCCAGAACTTCCACATGGATGGTCAGAAAAACACTGGAGTATATTTTGTCTAACATAAAGGCCTCGCTTCATCTATCAAATTATTTCCCTTTGTCTGCGGGGCTTGCCAGCCATACCTCGACTGATACTATAGCACACACCTCTTGCATAGTTGCGCCTGCTTTATTACAGTCAGTCTGTCCGCTTACGGTAGATGTATTGACTGGAAGTAGCATGAAGTATGATTTTATGTGGAACCAAGGTTGATCATTGGTTCTTTTTAGTTGCATGAAGTAAAGTGAACCATGTTGGTTATTCAGCTGGTTTGTGATACAGTGTACATAGTTTGTATCATACGAGGATATAGCAAATATGTAGAAATGCTGTTTCAAATTCCTTGTTTTTAGTCCACATCTTTGCTTTGTCTATTGCTGTTGGATTGGAGTACTCTTACAAATTGGTGCCTGTACAGTGTTGCCTGTGTGCCCCTCTGAATGTGTGAATGATGGCACATGTTTAGGCAAGTGTGACAATGTCCTGCAGAGTTTAAAGCAGTCCTTGTATTCAGGGTGGGTAGCATGACCTATGATAAGCAATTTCTGCTCTTTTCTCCCTTGTGGGTTTTATTCACACAAACCATTTTTATGTAGTTGCCTCTCTATTGTCTTTGTTTGGCAGGAATTGCCTTGAAACACTTCTTTCTGTAGTATTTTACTCCTAGTTGCAGGTTTTTATAGGTGCATTTAGTGCAAATGCATTTTGCAGGATTATCAAGAAAGCAACACTGTAAGACGACTTGATCACTCTAGTTTCTAGCAAATAGCTGACAGCTGTACAGTTCTTCTCTTTATGTCAAGTTTTATCTATGAGAAAACTTTATTTTGGATGCCACTTGTACTTAGGAAGTGTATGGGCACTCATGTATTTGTGGCCTTTTTTTTTTGGTTTTTCTGCTAAAACTTTGCTGTGAAGCTCTGGAGAAAAAAATCTTGGCCTTATTAATTGGGTATTTTGTCATTTGTGGCCAGAACACAAACTTCATCCCTACACTTGTCATTTGGTTGACTGTCTGCTAACTCTGGATCTGATTGCTTTAAAAACTTAATTTGCTTTCTCTCTGAAGTAAGTTCATTAATGGTGCATTAAACTGAGGCAAGTGCTATCACTAGTCGGGGATTCGTTTCACTTTACATCTTTGGGGCTCTGAACCAAAAATAGCAGTCAAGGTTGTAAGTTTTAGCACCTTGACAGCATTGATAGATGAACAATGCGTTATGCCCTATGAACTCTCCCACATAAGGCCATCATTGATGTCATGCTCTATAGTACCAGTTTTTGCAAGATGTATGTCATCGCTATAGCAACATGTTGCATGATCAGCAAAAAATTGGTAATGCCATGGAGTTGAGGCTCGATTGTGCGCATTGTAGTCTGTACTCCATATTTCTCGTCTTGTGTGTTCCGCTCTGCCTGGCTCGCGCTTGCAGTTGTACATATGTACAGAGTAGGGACTGCATTTGGATTGTTTGATTGTGCTGCTGTTTCGCTTTTGCATGCAGCCTTGGTGATTGAGGCACGTGTCCCATTTCCCCAGTTTGGGTTCTCTCTTATGGCAATGCAGGCATTTTTTTCGACAAAATTCTTTTATGTGTCTCACGTTAAATTTTTATTTGATTACTTCAGCACGCAAAATTTCTTTTATAACCTTCGTATGAAAGTTTGGTGCATGGGCACGTTGGTAAAATGTTCTTGGGGAAAGGTTTGCATGAAACTATTTCTGGGTCTTTTAGTTTTATTTTTAGCACTTTTAAGGCAGTGTTTTGCCTCAAAGTTTTGTAGCTTAAGTGCTGCACTACTCATGTCCTCAGAACGATGGTCAAACAGTTAAATTCTGATTGGAACCTTGAAGCAGAAGGATTTGCTCCAAACTTTACGCTGCCCAACATCTAGTCGGATTGCCTTCTGTCTATGACTTGCACGAAGGGATTCACACTCCACCCCTGGTTTACATGATCGTTAATGTTTCCAGTTGTGAGACACGGAATGAAACAATCGTAAAATAAATGCGAGGAAGCTGGTTGCTTGCGGTCATAAAGAGTAATCTTGAGGGGAAAAATTTTAGCACCCTGTTTTGAAGATGCAATGATTTTGTTAACTTTAGAACTTGACTCACTCAAAGAGAAGAAAACTGATCTTGTGAACACAAGTATCAACTTTTTCACGTTTCTGCATACAGTCACCTAGAAGTGTAGCTCTTCTTTTGTTTGATGGCAAGGATGAACTTTTGGGACAATCTGTTTCTTCAGCGAGGCAGCAGATCTCAATTTGCTCCACTCTCCATCTGCAAGGAAAGATGCCCTGCCGTCGTTCTCATTCTTTCAGTGATTATATCATAAATGCAAGTTGGTTCAAGGTGAACACTATCATCAAAAGAATTCATCTTTGAATCCAGGAAAATAGTTACTTCGGGGATTTTTTTCTGGCTATATTGCCAAGACTTGCTAGGCTCACGCTATTGCGCTACCAGGAATGCACAATATAATTAGACGATTGAAATATACGCCTATCGTGTTTGGTAGCAAATTATTAGAGATGGTGAACCTTGACTATGTTGCATTAAACAGACTTTGTACGATTGTGAATTGCCTTGCCTTGCCTTGCCTTGCCTTGGTAGTGAGCGAACTTTGATTTGGCAACGTACAGGTGGAGAAACTGTCTTATCGTGAGATATTCTATTTATTGCTGTTGTTTTATTTCTTGCGACTAATCTGTTTCTAGTGTAAACCGCCACTTCTGCTGTGTCAAAACCTGTGTCTGTTTCTCTCTGAAATTGTGCTTCTTTAGGTATGGATGAACTCGCATTTAGAGGAGGATACCTGTTTCTTCGGCAGAAGTGGGGTGACCAGAGAGGAAGCGGGGTGACGCACATCACTTGTGGACTTTGTTCACGGTGCGTCATCTCGTGCCAGAGCTCAAGGGAGGAACCCATGTTCCTGGCGGGGAGGGAGCGTCTTTGCGCGGGCGGATCTCTTGACGACACCAAAGGGTTAGGTTTCTTCTGCCACGACAGTTACGCGCCGGGCGCGTTGCCGTCTTTGCCACTGTTCCGTAAACTTATTTGGGGTGCCGCGCAACAGAAATTTATTTCTCCCCCTTTTTTTTACTTTTTTTTTTTATGTACTGGGTGCCGGCGGGTTCGAGGTTTTTTTGCTGTACATAGTAGTTTTCTGCATGCCTGCTCTCGAACCGAATGTTAATAAAATGCACGCCTGTGAAACATTTGTGTTGCGTTTTGAATCGACTTCGTAAGGACAGTAAGAACTAGACCGACACGAGGGGAAAAAAAAAAGTCCTTTCGCAGACACAGAGTTAGGCTGAAAACATGAAAGATATTTCAAGAAAGACGTCGCAGCCGTCCTGGCGTAATTTCGTCCACCATTTTGTTTCCTCGAGCTGCCTGGCGCTACTGGCGCGTACCGAAGCAATGTGGAGAGCAAGTCGTCTGCTTCTTGCACAGGAGCTGCAATGACGTCGGAACGACGCCGATCCCTGACTGACTGATCGAAAGGATCCTCCCGAAACATATCAGCGCACCCCCCCGGCCATAGGTTTCCACATGAATTGAAATTAAGGGGGGGGGGGGGGGGGTCTAAATGTTTAGGGGGAGGGGGGGGAGTATTGAGAATAGAGGAGTCGTTGCGAATTAAAGAGCAACTCCACTTATTTTGGTCATTAAAAAACAATGCAGTCTTCTTCAGTATCGCCTAGGAAGACCACATGTCAAATATTACGAAGCAGTTCTGTCTAAATGTTTCAATGGCCCGGCAAAATTTGCAACTCGCCAAGTTGACGAAATCAGCTGACTAGAGCGGGCGAATTCAGGTGCAGTCAAGGCTACGGCATGGGTGGAGCCAACATTGAGCTAAACGTCATCATCATCATGGCCCCCTTTTGCTTGTTTCTACTTCTCCGGGCGAGCGTAGCGCATGACGCAAGGGCATGACGTCAGCGGTGTTGCCTCGGCGCTCAGCGGTGTCCACGTGATTGGCGTAACGCGCCTGCGCAGCGCGCTTCTAGGGAGCCGTTCGGCCGCCCGCAGAGCCGTCTGCCGCGTAACAACCACCGTCGTCGTCTCACCGTTTGTGGTTATTAGGGAATTGTAGTAGACCGTTTTCTTCCTCCGCTACGGTATCCCTGAAGAAAACGCAGCAGCCGCGCATGCGCGCCGCCAGCCTTATCTCCATAGTTCAAGGTCTTGTGGCGGATTACGGAGCGCTATCCGGGTGCTTAGCGGGCTGCAGAAACGGTCTACTACTCGGAATTCCGTCCACACTACGGGCACTACGGACACCACGTGCCGCGCAGGGTTGCCAGGTTGGGCTATAAATAGCCAAATTGGGCTAGTTTTATTTGCAGTTGGCGGGAAAAATGGTAGTTGGCTATTTGGCTAGTATTGGGCTATTTCTAACCTGTGCATTGGGCTATTTCTGACCTGTGCATTGGGCAATTTCCGACCAGTGCTGGAACCAAAATGCCTGAAAGCACCTGGGTTTATAGGTTCGAATGTATTTTTAGAGTAAGTTACGTGAACATTTGGCGCTTCAGTCCCTTAACCCTGATAAGTTTGCGACAACAAACAAATTTGTCTTCTTTTTGCACGCCTTGTGCAATTGTTTACCTCCGAATGCAAGCATGTGCTGTTATTCCTCCATCTCAACAAGTGACGGCGCGATTCATTGCCGAGGATCGCTAGGTTGGACATTTGAGAAAAGGTACATGGAAGTGACGTAATGCAAAGGAGGAGCGTATTCTAGCAACACTCACGTGGCGGCTCTGCCCACTTTGACGCCGCTACGTCATCGCAAACTTGACACCCGTCACCCGTTTCAGCGACGTCCGGAACCAACCACCGACGAGCGGAAGTAGCTACGCATTCCCTGAGGCGTCCCTACGCGCGGGATACGGGGTAGGATTTACTACGACGCGAGGAGCAGTTCCTGCGTTTAGCGAAGGAACGGCAACCAATCCTGTGCGTCGCTGGCCGTCGCATCTGTTCTGGTACAGGTAAAAGTATTGAAAAACAATCAAAACCTTTTGGGCGTTGTTAAAACAAACCGCTTTTTTGTACCCTTTTGCAATACATTTAAGAATTAATTGGAGAGAAAGTTGTTCCATATTATGCGGGATGTGCGCTACGCGCCTTCTTCAAACCAAAATGTCGAACCACGAGGAGCCGGGTGTGCCGGGGGCAGCGGAGGGGTCGGCGGAACCAACGGGGAGCGCGCGAGTGACGACTGCTTTAGTCAGAAACAATTTTTTTATCTTTCGAGAACTTGCTATTGCCGCGCTCAAATAAGAATGTTTGGCGCAACATCTGTGATAATTCTTTCAAAGTGGTCCAGTGTTTATATGGTGGTATGCTAGTCAGAGAATATATATATATTTTTTTTTCCTTTCGAAATTTAACTATTGTGCTCAAATAAGACAAGATATCTGTGATATATACTTAAGATTGCCCAATTGCTTACATAGTTCCAGTCGATGCTCAGTTTTACTTCCAAGAATGAAATATTAGATTCCATGTTATCACACTTTTATTCATGAAGTCACAGGTTTTTCTTTAAGAAATAAAGCAATTTTCAAAACAAACTACATGTGCACTGTCTTGAGATAACACAACCTAACTTTGATGAAGTACCATAAAAGAGATAATAAAATGGAGCAGAAGGCAAGACGCTTTGAAGCATTTGTAAAATGAAACAATGTCCATGACAACAATATCCCTGGTTCAATCAGCAACTAAGAAAGCAATCTCTGCAAAAGCAAGCATTTCTTTCTAGAGGTAGTCTAAATTACTTCTGAGTTCTTTGCAGGGGCAATCCAGATGATTTGTTGGTCTGGCAACTAAACCTCCGAACCTTTTCTGTCACTGTCGACTGCGTCTCGTGCCCCTTGCTCATAAGAATAAAAAAAAGGCTGTATCGATTTCACCGCGATGCACTCGACACGTATCCGGAGGCAGCACGCTGGCTGTGCGACGAACTTCACAAGGTGTAGGAGCTGAAGAGAGTATGTAGCTTGTGGACGGCCATGACTGTGGAGCAGGAAGCGAAGTGTGCACTTTACGGCTTCCACGCGTAGGGCTTCACTGAGGGCAAGGATGTGACGGGGTCCTTGATGGTCAGGACCTCAGTCGTGGTGGCGAGAGGTTCCCTGTCGCTGGCGGCGTCCGTGCTGGGCACCACCGCAGCGAGGGCGCTGAGGGGCTTCCCGACGGTGTCCCTGGTGGTCGGGACTACCGTCGTGGCGGCGGACCCCTTGCGTGTGGCGCTCCGCACGGGCACGTCTGCGGCGGGTTCCAAACCGGGCGACAAGGCGCTGCCTCAGAGCCTTCCCCCTGTCCGAGAGGCCGACCGGAAGGTTGACCGGAGGGCCGGCAGGAGCCAGCCTCTCGGGAGCCGACGCTGACCTCTCCGAGCTCGGTTTAGAACCGTCCGAGCTCGGCTCAGACTCCAACTCTGACTCTTCAGGGTCGGAGTCTGACTCCGGTTCTGGCTCGCTCGATGCAAGGCAGATGTTGTGGAGCACTGCACATGCCGAAATAATGGCGGTGGCTGTTGAAGGGTGGTAATACAGAGCCCGGTGCCTTTGCAGACACCGGAATCTGTTTTTCAACAGCCCGATGCAGCGCTCCATAACAGACCTGATCGAGGAATGCGCCTTATTAAACCGGTCGCAAGCGGTGGAGGTCGCGTGGTTCCCGGGGACAGGGGTGATGAGCCAAGGCGCCAAGGGGTAGCCGCTGTCACCTGCACATGTAGAGGATGGAACATATTACATTCTTTACTTTTTAAAATGAAAGGCAAGAAAACAGCTGTGTGCAACTATGTCAATTATAATGTAACTTAAGTGGGACTTAAAAGTGTGTTAATATTTCTGCACTACAGTATCAGTTTACATTATGATTAATTAGCACCAGCTTGCCTGTAAACTCCCTGTTATTTCATGTAACTATGTGTTTTCCTGGTGGGTTGTATGGGATGTGTGCACGATTCCTTAGGGGTGCTGTGTTGTATGCAAGTGCATTATTAGGCCCTTGCATCCGACAGATAAAAGCTCTGTTGCTTTTGGGAGTGTGGCCGTGACCTTAGGCACGGGCAGAGCAGAACACGCTGGCCTTGTCTTTGGCAAGCAAGGGGATAAGGAGCCAGTTCGACGAACCTCTTTCCTAATCCTCGGTGGAGTTGGATTTGGGGAAAAGAGAGGGGGTGGTTAGATTGGAAAGGAGTCAGGTCCTGTTGGGACACGGAGGGTCTAATAGGAGGAGCTATATAAGCAGACCGAAGAAGAAGGGTCAGGGAAAAGAATCCAGTGTGTGGGACAGAGACGACCCGAGGACAGATTTGGCGAGCCCCAAGTGGCCAAGGAGGAATTGATGCCATTCCGTACAAACTGACGACCGTCAAAGCGACCAGGCGAGCCCCCAGGTATCAGTGAAAGAGCTCCAACTTCATGCAAAAACCAACCAGCAAGAGGGTACAGGCAGACAGTAACAGTGAGTGGGCCGAACCGGACAGCGACTCGCACTGCGGTCGCATGCCTTGCATAGTCTATCACTGTCGTGAGATTGGTGTAGTGTGACTTTCGTAGCCTGCAGAGTGTGAGAGTTATGTGGACATAAACAGAGATTAATGGCCAAACTTTGGGTGTTGTCTCACTTCAAGGAGTTCCAGCAACTGTGTCTGTGTGCCTCACAACAAACACAGTACGTGTGGTACTGTGGCTTTCAAGCAGTGGGAGCCACCGTGTGCGTAAGGAATGAATTTAGTATGCTCACCAAGCAGGAACCGGCCGTCGCGTGGCACCTGCCCTTGCTCGAGTTGGTTTCGGAGCCAGGAAAATTGCCACACGAAGGAGTCATGCACCGACCCGGGATACCGTGGGTCGATGCACATTATCCGGCAGTCGGCGTCACACACCTGAAAGTGAGAGAGATATTGACTTGTAATTACCTGAATGCACAAGTAGTAGATTGTACTTATGGTTCACAAAGCAGTCGCAATTTCAGAACCTTTTAAGTTAGTTTGTCTGACACATGCATGTCAACACACCTTCCTGGATGCAGGGTACAACTAACTACCTTAAAACAAAAATAATTTTTTTTTTGTTTTTTTTACGGAAGCTCACATGCTACATAGAGCACACGCTCGCGCAGTCGTGAGACCCCACAGCCCGCAGTCATAAAACGGCATACTTAAACCGTATCGGCAATACGTT